GAACCATGCTTCGGCTTGGTTGGAGTTGGATCCGGACTGGGAGGACCGTAGATATCATCATCGTCGCTTTCGTCCAGAAAAGGCGTGGCACCCTTGGCCTTCTTCTTGCCCTTTCCTTTGCCCTTGGCACTCGTTGCAGCAACAGCATTCTTGGGCTCGGGGGCTTTGAAAGGAGGCGGGGTGAAAGTCATCGGAGCACCCCAGGTGTAATGAGCCGTCGACTTGGCAGCGAACGCGGCGCCGTAGTCTCGAGGGATCGGCATCTCACGCTCAGTAAAGTCATCCCATGTCTTCTTCTTGGCAGCTTTCCTGCGCTTTTGAGGGGGCTTTCGCATACCATCGTCGTCGCTGTCCGTCTCGGCGAGCTCGAAGCCGCGCTTTTGGGCATACTTTAGAACCGCATCAGGTATTTGACGCTTGGGGGGTTTCTCAGCAGAGGCTCGCTCCTTCCCCTTCGATGACTTGCTCTTGGACTTGGAGGAACCGGTAGGAGCGGACTTGGACGAGCCAGCCGTGACGAATCTTTTCTTTCCAGAGGAAGAGGATTTGGACTTATTCCCGGGAGCCATCTTGAAGGTTTTGTTTTGTAGCTTCTGATTGTATCAGCGATTGTTGCCAGGAAGATGTCAGAAAACTTACTCAGATGAAGGGGGGTATATGATAATATTTGGAACTGCTGGATTATATGTTCAGTGTAGATGTCGCAGTCTTTGAACCCCGTGAAGTTTCACTTGCTGCCTTGGTGCTTCTTCATTCGTGAAATAAGTCTTTGTGGTGATTTGTCTCTTGTGTTGCAAGTAAGACACTTCTGCAACGAAAGTTGATGTCAAAGAGAGAGATATGTCATGAAGGTGAGATAGGAGGTTGCGACCTTCTCAATGGATGTAGCATAGGAAGTAGACGAGAAACTTTTGAGGCAATCGTCAGGTCTCACCAGAGTTTATGCCTCTGGTATTGGCAAGTCCCTACTTGCCAAACGACTAGGTAGTTGACGAAATGAAGGAGCAAACTCCACAAACATGTGTTGAAGTTTGGTGAAACTTGTGAGCCACAGACGAAAGCTCCAATGGCACAATTTAATGTCAAGAGAACGATTGAAAACCACGAAGAGACTGACGCGGATTGTGTTGGTGGTGGAGGATAGATAAAAGCAAGATCCACGCTGGAGTGGTTGTGTTGATAGAGGCTGGTTCAACTCCAAGCGGCAGCTTCAGAAAAGTGATGCCTTCCCTTTTCTGCCAATAAATTGACAGGAAGAAGGGGGGCGAGTGAAGTGGTGATTAGGAAATAAAATGATTCCATCTTTGGCTTCTACGATGGCAATGATGAATATGGCAGGAGGGCTTTTCCGTTGCTTTCTGAATTCAGCTACTAATGTTCACAATGTTGTTTCAACTTGTTAACTACAATACATTCGAAAACCTGAGATATGTGCTACAGCATCTGCCTCGCCATCGAAATAATGAGTAAATATTCAGTCAGATGAGGCCATCATGTTGGTATTGAAAAAGCGAAATAAAAACAGATTCGCTGTGCAAACCGAGAGACGATATCTGTTTGCCGATATACTGTCAATCTTCAGATGGTGAGGATGCCTCCGGCCAGCCATGCAAGTCATGAAAATACAATGAACCCAAGTCATCATGCGAAAGGTGACATAACGATGTTGGCAGAAAGGATTCCATCCGTCATGTTCCATAACGATCCACGTTGTCTCAAGGGCTGACTGCATACACTAGTTGGAGTTGTTGTTCTCTCATCCCACCGGGCGGCCGCTGCGACCCCTGCTAAGACCCTGTACAAGTTTGACATGCGCGCCCTTTGGTCTTTACGCCCCTCATCCTCTGACACGGCGATCCACCATCGATTACGACGCGGGGTTCTTTCAGAAATCGAAATAGGTCTTATTAATTAGGAGCAATTGACCAATGATCAGAAATGATACCTAGTACCTGAATTTCGATCTAAATGTTCCGAATACGCGGCTGATTCAAGAAATCGTCCGAACTATTGTCGATCCTGGCATCGGAAGCACTTCCGCTCCCCCACCTCGTAAGTCTGGATTTTTTCAATGTACACCCGAAAGCGAAGTTCCTTTCTCTCTTCAACCATCATCTTCCATTTCCCAGATTTCTCAATGAAGGCTGTTTTTGCTGTGGTTCTTAATGCGCAGTAACTCCTGATCCCTTCGTTGACTCAATTCCTCTGGCTTGAAGGATCGCCAAGTCTCCACATCCGTCATCCTAGTGCCGTAGACTCGACGTTTCCTATAAACATCGTGTCTCTACTTTCTTCGATAAACTTGGCTCTTACTTTCAGTACCGAACACAAACCACCAAATCACCTTAGACATCAACCACAATGGGCTCGCTCGATTCAGACACCAAGAAGCCATGGATCCAAACACCGTGCATTGCATCTGCACCCCTCTCTAGGATAGCAGGATGGTACGTTTCAAAAGCGCCATCAACCCAAACCAACTAACGGAAGGTCTCCAGCAACATCTTCCTTAAGCTTGAGAACCACCAGCCTTCGGGCTCCTTCAAGTCCCGCGGCGTAGGCAACCTCATGTTCCGCGCCGCGGCCGCAGCCCCCGGCGCAGACGTCCACTTCTACTGCTCCTCCGGCGGCAACGCAGGCCTCGCCTGCGCGACCTCCGCCATCGCCCTGAACCGCAAAGCCACCATCGTAGTACCCATGATCTCGTCACCGCTGATGATTTCCAAACTGCGCCTCCTGGGAGCCGAGGTCCACCAAGTCGGCGAGAACTGGCCCCAGGCCGACCGTTACCTGCGCGAGGAGCTGCTCGCCAAGGACCCCGCCGGCGTCTACGTCCCGCCCTTCGATCATCAGCACGTTTGGGACGGCGCATCGACCATTGTCGACGAATTGGTATCTCAGCTGCCAGGCAGCGACATCAACGCCATCGTCTGCTCCGTCGGGGGCGGCGGCCTTCTCAACGGACTCGCACAGGGCGTTGAGCCGGAGCGCTGGCAGGGGACGAAGGGCCGGGAACCCCGTCTGATGGCCGTCGAAACGCGGGGAGCCGATAGTCTGAATGCGAGCGTGTTGGCTGGTGAGCACGTCACCCTGCCCGGCATCACTTCAATTGCCTTTTCTTTGGGCGCCACGAGGGTCTCTCAGAGGACGTGGGAGGTCTCGCAGAAGACGCCTGGTTTCCGGAGTGTGACGGTCAGTGATGCGGAGGCGGCCATGGCAACCGTGCGCTTCGTCGACGATGCGCAGCTTGTGGTTGAGGTTGCTTGCGGCGCGACGATAGCTACTGTCTATAACGGCATGTTGAGGAAGCAGCTGGGCTCGGGGATGTCGGATGAGGAATGGGCGAAGCAAAACGTTGTGCTCATTGTCTGTGGCGGTTCGAACATCACACTTGAGATGTTGAATGGGTACCGTGAAAAGTTCGGCGACGCATTTGAAAGCGCATGAGACAGAAGACGATGGTCTCTTTTTAGACGATAAAATTAGATATACACTGCCAAGACATGAAATAGAAGCTGATAACCAGTATGAGACGGTGCCTTTGCCGTTCCATGTGTCTTCTTGTGTTCTGTCTTCATGTGCTTCGTCTATCTCGCATAAGCCACCTCTCGCGATTCCTCTGCTGCCTTCAACCCAGCAGGAGATGCCACAAACTGACCCAAGTCATTCAGCACCATCGTGACCTCCCCAAAATAATTGACTTCTCCTTTCTGCGTGAAGCCAACTCTCTTGAATAGCGATATGCTCGCCGCGTTCCCCTCTTTGATCTTGACCATCAACCCCTTCAACTCAGCCTTTCCACTCTTGCCTTCGCCCTCAACATACTCCTTTAGTATGCGCTCTTGGTTGCGGTGAACATACACCAGCAACGTCGTGACAGCAGCGTATCCTACACCCTTGCCGCGGTGCTCCTTCGACGCCACCATAACGTCCACTTCACCGACATAGGCCCCCTCGCCCTCTTCCTCGTCGTCGTGTGGATAAACGAAAAAGTTGATGTCGCCAATCATGCGTGCCGCCGCATCAACCTCACCAGCCTTTACGCTGGCTGCATCAGAGGCCGCATCCAGGGGTTGGCAGATGATGAAGGTGAGCTTGTCATGGGACGTCCGCCACGATTGCTGGTTCTCGTATTCCTCCTCCAGCGTCAATGGCTCAGAGGCCGTCGCTTCTTGGATATCCTGTCACAAAAATAAGCATGTGCCTGGACGAATCGGCGGGTACTTTGGTGCGGCGTTTTGCTGACCGGATCACTCATCCACTCATGATAACGCTCCACATGTCTCGCTTCGTACGGTACAAGCGTCACCGCCGGCGTCGCGATCGCTGTGGTCTTGTAAGTTCCTCACATTCAAACGACCAGCCTCAACCAATTCGGATAGTGTCCTCAAAGTACATGCCTGCATTCTCATTCAATCTCATCGTGAAGTATGCCAAGGGTGTCCGTCTCAGGCACCAGATCCCCCACTTGCACCCTCGTCACAAAAACTAAAAATGCGAGCGAAGCCGGTGAGCTGGCCAGCGTCCCCGCCCTGCGCTCCACGTCTGCGTGCTGCCGCTGTCCGAAAGGGGCAAACGAACGACCCCGTCCGCGGAAGCAGACGCACGATGGCCGCGACGTATGGACCCTCCGAACCCCTGGAAGTCCTCAACAAGAACAAGTGTCAAGGTGCCAGAGTGGTTAATGGGCTGCCCTGCTACGGAATGCCTCGGTTTACCGAGACAACCTAGCTGCCAGGCAGTGGCTTCGGTCGCGCAGGTTCGAATCCTGTCCTTGACGTGCTTCCTTTTTGCGCTTTTGAGAATGGCCGGTTGATTGAGTCACTCGGTGGTGTAAGTGGCGAGCCGAGTTTTTGGCTGAGGCGGAGTTAGTGCCCCGAGCTTGGTGAGCTTGGGCTTGGGTGGGTGGTCGAGTGGGTGGTCCACTATTGTCGCTTGCTGATGTGGACAGGAACTGCGGGGTACTTATTGGACATTCCGCAACTATTTGTTCATCAATAGTCAAGGTGCCAGAGTGGTTAATGGGCTGCCCTGCTATTATCCCTAGGATGATCGCTGTTCAGGCAGTGGCTTCGGTCGCGCAGGTTCGAATCCTGTCCTTGACGATTCCCTTTTGATCTTCTTGATGAATCCGAGTGGTACATTCTTTTTAGACCGGTGCTGCTTTTGCTGGCCTTGGTGCTTGCTGTGTGCAGCAGGTGGTGGGTGTGCGTACTGTTCAGGACCGAGCGCATGCCCTCGCATCTACTTACAACGAATTAAAACCTACCCTATCTCGAGATATCCTGTTATTTCTTTGCAAGAAAACGTCTCATTATATACTGGCTGACTTAATTACCACCCGCTGATATCAACAAATCAAGTTGGGAAGAAGAGACGGCTTAGTTTTTAAGAGCAGTCACGCTTTACGCCCGGCTGACCTGGAGACCTTCTCCATCGTTCATCATCATGTAATTACAACATCTTACATTTCCACCAGTGATGGGGAGATTTTACATTTACATTCAGTTCATAGAGAAACTGGAAACGCCTAGGCTCATTCCTCAGCGGCCTGCGGAGGGAATAAAGCGTTCCACTTTCCTTCCTTGCCTGGATCGATCACCGGGACACCATATGTCAAGTCTGCGCCAAAAGTCGCATCCTGGAAGCGCCGCTTGCCGGCGTCAACACCCATGGTATCCAGCAGAAGCCCCATCTTGGTCGGCATGACAGGCTGGAGCAGAATGCCCGCCACACGCGAAGCCTCCGCGGTGTAGAAGATGCACTCGTGGAGCGTGGCTTGGTCTTTGGGATCCTTCGACTTGACCAGCTTCCACGGTGCCAGGTGGGAAATGTACTTGTTCGCCTAGGAGCCTTGTTAACATATTGTTCGCAAATCATTTCCAGGGAAGCGCGCTTACGTCGGCGAGAACATCCAGCACACCACGGATGGCAGCATTGGGATTCAACTCATCCATGCTCTTTGACATGTCAGACGCCATGCCGTTGATACTTGCTTTCAGCTTCTCACTGCTCAACAGAGTGGTGCTGTTCTCTTCCGACCACACGACAGAGCTCAACAGAGAGGCGCTATTCTCTTCCGCCCACACGACGGAGTCCCTGAGCTTCCACGTTTTGCTCTTGGCAACCCTGTTCATCAAGTTGCCCACGGTCGATTGAAGATCCTTTTGATACCGCGCCACGACCAACGAGTTCTCGTAGTCAGCATCCTGCTCAATGCCGCCGTCGCGCATCATGAAGTACCGCATCGTATCCAACCCCCATCGGTCGACGGCAAAGAACGGGTTAACGACGTTTCCCAACGACTTGGACATCTTCTTCTTCCCCAACGTCCAATGCGCATGGCTTAGCAACTGCTTCGGCAGTGGGAGATCCAGCGCCATCAGCAGCGCGGGCCAGTAGATTCCGTGGAACCGCACGATATCCTTACCGATGACGTGCACATCCGCTGGCCAGCCTCCCTCGTGCTCTTTCCCAGGCTGCCATGTCGGAAACCCGGCTTTCGTGAGGTAGTTAATCAGCGCGTCCACCCAGACGTAAATCGTCTGCGAGGGATCGTCCGGTACGCGGATCCCCCAGTCTAATCTCTGTACGGGTCTTGATATCGACAGATCCTCGAGATTGTTTTGTACCCAAGCAATAACTTCCTTCTGCCTCGCCCTTGGTACGATCCAGTCCGGGTTCTCCTCGTAAAACTTCAGCAAGCGGTCCTTGAGCGCCGTCATGCGGAAGTGGTAGTTCTTCTCCTCGACCCACTCGACCTCGTTGCCCGTCTCGATCGACGCCATCACCGTCCGTCCCGTCGACGGCACCAACGTCCTCTCGACCTCATTCGCGGCGTAGAAGCACTCGTCGCTCACACAATACCACCCCTCGTGCTTGCTCTCGTAGATATATCCCTTCTCCTTCAGCAGGAACCAGAAATGCTGCACAGCCTCCATATGGTCCGGGTCGGTGGTGCGAATGAAGTAGTCATTGTCCATGCCAATCACCTGCGCCAGGTCGCGGAACTTCTCGGCCGTCGAGTCGCAGAACTCTTTGGGAGCAACGCCCTGTTTGGCGGCCGCCTGCTGGACTTTGGACCCGTGTTCGTCGGTGCCGGTGCACAGGATCGCGGGCCTGCCCTTGAGGACCTGCCAGCGCTTGAGGACGTCGGCAAGGAGCATCGAGTACATGTGGCCGACGTGCGGGGCTGTACATGTCCTCATTAGCTCGCAGGTCTCCGTGATTGCATCGGAACATCTTCACATACATGCATTGACGTAGAAGATGGGCGTCGTCACATAATACGGCTTTTCGCTCTTGCTGTCAGAGCTCGCGAACCGTCGCAATGTCGGTCCATAGCTGCACGAGGGGCAGACCCAGGCCGGTCGCAGCGCTGGTGCATAGCGGCGAGTGCGGAAGGCCGAAGCTGCAGGTAGTCTTAATTGTCTCATTGCGGCTGTGGTCGTCAAAAAGCTACCTTTGGAAAAGCATGTCGCCGTCGAGCATGCACGTAGATCGTGAATCGAAGGGTGCAACTGATCACTGCCTCTCGAAATGTTCCGACTTTCTGAGAGCACCGTACCAATTGAGTCGGGCGATAACGGTAGAGAGCTCTTATCGGTGAAAGATCCCTGCACCCCGCCGTAATTCTGACCGAGTCCCCTTCACCTCGACAACTTTGCGACAACCTCTAGTAAACAACAACGCTGCGCATTCGAAAAAGCTCCACGTCCTATTCTACAAAACACAGTCGAAGACAGGACAACACAATGTCTCTCCCATCTCGCGAAACGGAAATGAGGGCATCCTCAGACGGTGCGCAACCATCTAGCCCACCACCAGCAGGACTACACTGACGCAGGCGCTCTCCTCCCTCAGCGGCGTCAAACTTCGCAGATGCCTACTACGACGCCCTCAACCGCCGCAAGCTCAAAGGCACAATGTCGCAGTTCTACACGACAGCCTGCTCAAAGTACCCTACGCCGCCCGACATCTCCGTCAACGGCGCCGTCCTCGCCAGCGGGCCCGACGAGTACACCGCCCTCCTCGACACCCAGGGCCCCGACGTCCGCTACGAGATCGAGTCCCTCGACGCCCACGTCGTCAACGCGGACTTCTCCCTCGGCTGCCCCGAGCATCTCCAGGGCGGCGACAAGAACGGCGCAAAGTGCAGCGTCATGGCCCAGGTCACCGGCCGCGTCTACTACGGCAAGGGCCGCGACGCCGCCGCCAAGACGTTTAACGAGGTCTTCGTGCTGGTGCCGAACTGGGACACCTTTGGCAAGAACCCCCCACGCGGCGTCAGGCGATGGTTGATTATGAGCCAGAACTTTCGCGCGCTGTAAGGTTGTGGGTGGATTGGCGGGCGGAGGATATACCCCAGAATGAAGACATGTCGAGACCACCGGATTGCTTCACAATTCGTAATGAGATAGGTACGGGTAGTGACATACCGGTTGCTAGAGAGCTTGCTAACTTGGCAACAGAATTGGATTATGGACAAAAATGGGAGCCATGGTAGACCCCTGTCACTTTTTCGGCAGCATGAAAGCGAGGATGACCGTCTTTTAAGAACATCCCATAAGCGTATGTCTCGGACAAGATAGCTTAATAACACATCAATTATCACACAAACGCGCTACCTATGCAAGCTGCTGCTTCCTGTACTTCCAGTATCCCGCCCTCACGGGATCCCACTTCTCCGCCAGTCGGTCGAGGTACTTGCCCGCCTCCTCCTTCTGGCCCTTCTCCGCGTACACGTCGGCCAGGAAGTCGAGCGCATGCGTACTGCGCACCTCCTCCTTGTCCTCGCCCTCTCCGATGTCGTTGACAAACTGCGCCGCGAACGCCTCTGCAGTCTCCAGTTTTCGTCCGCCCTTTACCAGCACACCCCTAAGGTAGTTCCACGCGGCCTGGTTCTGCGGTGCCAACAGCGCCTTCTCTTCGACGTACTTGACCTCCCGGTCCACGATGTCTGCGGGGACCTTCGGATCGTGCTCCGTCGCGTGCGAGCCCTCCGTCGAAGCGCCTGGGTCCGAAAACACGAGGAAGAACCGGTGCGACCAGGCCGAGTTGTTCCTCACGTCCTCCTCGATCCAATTCTGCGTCGACAGCAGCTCCTGCAGGTTCCACAGCCCCAGCTTGCGCACCAGGTACTGTCTGTAGCTCCACACGTGGTAGTTCTTGGTATCCTCGTCAAGCATGCGCGTGAGAAACTCCGTTTCGGACCTTCCGAAGCGCTTCACCTCGTCCGGGCTGCCCTTGATGTGGTTGTAGTGGTGGTCAAGCAGCAGCTGGCGGTGGTGCCAAATCTGGTAGTTCTTGATGTGCTCGAGCGACACCTCGTTGAGCCACTCGATCTCATCGATGACGGAAATGTCGAGCGCCTCGACGATCTTGAACCGGTACAGCCATACAGTGTAGTGTGCCGGGTTCATGGAGATAACGTGGTCCGTCAACCGTAAGCACCGCGGGCTGTACTCTTCGGCGACCATGACGGCGCGCAGGTAGCTCATGACTGGAAAGAACACGCACAAAGTCAGTGGGACATGATAGATGAGCAGGATCCCCGAGGCCACCGTTTTCCGAAACAGAACACACACATCGGTGCAAGACACAAAAAGAAGAAGTGAATTATTTACCCTCAGCATAGTCCTCGGGGTAAGCAATCGTAGCCAGCGCGCCTTCGGGCTCCTCGGCGGGGATGGGCACGACATCGTCCCACTCCGGGTCGGTCGCGTACGGACCCATCTTCTCTCCGTAGAGCTCCTTCCTAAGCGCCGCCATCTCCCGTCGTCTCTTCCTCTCTTCGTCAATGTCCTCCTGCATGATCTCTGTGACCTTGCCCTCGGCCGCGTCCGGAACGCCGTCTCGCGCAAACTCTCTCCGCTGAAGAAACCTGCGGTGCAACACTTCGAGCGCCGTAAGCTGCGCCTGTTTCGCGGCCCGAACGGTGAATTGGTCGATCGGGTAGTCGCCCAGGTCGCGCCCGTTCTTGTCCTTGCCCCAGTCGTAGACGACCTTCTGCTCGGCGCTTCTCGGCTTCTCGAGTCGGCGGATCGGCGGCGATTCCCTGCTGATCTGCTTCCAGAACTCGCGCTCTGCCTTGTTGGTAAGGAAG